AGGTATACAGACCTCACATACTCAGGCTCACTCAGCATTTATCACTCAACTCTTTATTACACACTCTGTGTGTGTGAACGTGGTTTAACATATGCATTATACGTCATTAGCTTGTTGATCAGAAATGCTTAATCATAACCGTTTCTGTGCTCTTCTCACCTGCAACTCGGACCCATAGATAAACCAACAATAGCCGTCATTACATTGAACACAATCAGAACACGATCAGCTCTTACACTGTTTGAAGACGGAGAGACGATAAGATGGAGAGACGATAAGATGGAGAGACGATAAGATGGAGAGAAAAACAAGAGAAGACTCTTTCTGTCTCTCCCTCAAATCATTTTAAGAGCTTTATTGGCATGGGAAACGTGTGTTAACGTTGCCAAAGCAAGTGAAGTAGATAGTAAACAAAAGTGAAATAAACCATAAAAAATTAACAGTAAATATTACACTCAGATAAGTTCCAAAAGAATAAAGACATTTCAAATGTCATATTATGTCTATATACAGTGTTGTAACGATGTGCAAATAGTTAAAGTACAAAAGGGAAAATAAATAAACATAAATATAGGTTGTATTTACAATGGTGTTTGTTCTTCACTGGTTGCCCTTTTCTTGTGGCAACAGGTCACAAATATTGCTGCTGTGATGGCACACTGGTATTTCACCCAATAGATATGGGAGTTTATCAAAATTGGATTTGTTTTAGAATTTGTTGTGGGTCTGTGTAATCTGAGGGAAATATGTGTCTCTAATATGGTTTTACATTTGGCAGGAGGTTAGGAAGTGCAGCTCAGTTTCCACCTCATTTTGTGGGCAGTGTGCACATAGCCTGTCTTCTCTTGAGAGCCAGGTCTGCCTATGTATCGGCCTAATTCTGCTCTGCATGCATTATTTGGTGTTTTACGTTGTACACTAAGGATATGCAGAGTCTCAATTTGTTGTTTGTCCCATTTTGTGAATTCTTGGTTGGTGAGCGGACCCCAGACCTCACAACCATAAAGGGCAATGGGTTCTATAACTGATTCAAGTATTTTTTGACAGATCCTAATTAGTATGTCGAATTTTATGTTCATTTTGATGGCATAGAAGGCCCTTCTTGCCTTGTCTCTCAGATCGTTCACAGCTTTGTGAAAGTTACAGAAGATCTAGATGCTGCTGTAGGCCCTCCTTGGTTGGGGACAGAAGCACCAGATCATCAGCAAACAGTAGACATTTGACTTCAGATTCTAGTAGGGTGAGGCCGGGTGCTGCAGACTGTTCTAGTGCCCTCGCCAATTCGTTGATATATATGTTGAAGAGGGTGGGGCTTAAACTGCATCCCTGTCTCACCCCACAGCCCTGTGGAAAGAAATGTGTGTGTTTTTTGCCAAGTTTAACCGCACACTTGTTGTTTGTGTACATGGATTTTATAATGTCGTATGTTTTTCCCCCAACCCCACTTTCCATCAATTTGTATAGCAGACCCTCATGCCAAATTGAGTCAAAAGCTTTTTTGAAATCAACAAAGCATGAGAAGACTTTGCCTTTATTCTGGTTTGTTTGTTTGTCAATTAGGGTGTGCAGGGTGAATACGTGAACTGTCGTACGGTAATTTGGGAAAAAGCCAATTTGACATTTGCTCAGTACATTGTTTTCACTGAGGAAATGAACTAGTCTGCTGTTAATGATAATGCAGAGGATTTTCCCAAGGTTGCTGTTGGACGCATAGCCCACGGTAGTTATTGGGGTCAAATTTGTCTCCACTTTTGGGGTGATCAGTCCTTAGTTCCAAATATTGGGGAAGATGCCAGAGCTGAGGATGATGTTAAAAAGTGTACGTATAGCCAATTGGAATTTGTGGTCTGTATATTTTATGATTTCATTTAGGAGACCATCAACACCACTCTCTCTCTCTCTGTCTCAGCTGTGTAGTGCTAGGGCAAAAACTAAAACACTGGTTCTCTCTCTCTCAGCTGGTCGGTCGGTCGGTCGGTCGGTCGGTCGACCCTAATTGACAAACAAACAAACCAAAATAAAGGCAAAGTCTTCAAAGAAGCTTTTGACTCAATTTGGCATGAGGGTCTGCTGTACAAATTGATGGAAAGTTGGGTTGGGGGAAAAACATACGACATTATAAAATCCATGTACACAGACAACAAGTGTGCGGTTAAAATTGGCAAAAAACACACACATTTCTTTCCACAGGGCCGTGGGGTGAGACAGGGATGCAGTTTAAGCCCCACCCTCTTCAACATATACAGTGGGGAGAAGAAGTATTTGATACACTGCCGATTTTGCAGGTTTTCCTACTTACAAAGCATGTAGAGGTCTGTAATTTTGATCATAGGTACACTTCAACTGTGAGAGACGGTCGGTAGGTCTGGTGTTCTCTCTCTCTATGTATGCATGCATGCATGCCTGCCTGCCTGCCTGAATGCCTGCCTGCCTCTCTCAGCTGTGTAGTGCTAGGGCAAAAATACATTTCAGTTATTTCAAATATTTTCCATGGAATATACTGTATGTTCTAATTCACACACTGTCTAATCCAACCTTGTCGTAATCCAGCAGGTAATCTAAACATCCCAGTGTTTGCAAACAAAATACATTTTGAGGACTTTAATCAGAAACTCCGTGCAAAATGACAGAATTGTTTATTAGTTATTAAACAGATGAAATAGTTCAATAACATATCATATAGAAGGTATGTGAGATCATTTATCAGAAAGGCCAACATACATTATTACACACAAAGAGCTCAACAAACCTAGATAGCAGCCTTGAAATCCTAGATTCACCGCTAATTGACCACGAGCAAGCCCAAAAAGAGATTGTATTTGAAAAGAACAATAACTTCATACCTTGATTACATTGAGGGGGAAATATCAGCCTGTTGCCGATCCCTGCTTTAAATAATGGTAGAATGGCCCTCAGGGGACAAATACAGCTGTTTGAATGAATTGATGCACAATTTATGAACATGTTAGTCATATGAAGACATAACCATTAATATACACTGAGTGTACAAAACATTAGGAACACTTTCCTAATATTGAGTAGCACCCCCGTTTGCACTCAGAACAGCCTCAATTCGTCAGGGCATGGACTCTACAAGGTGTCGAAAGCGTTCCACAGGGATGCTGGCCCATGTTGACTCCAATGCTTCCCACAGTTGTGTCAAGTTGGCTGGATGTCCTTTGGGTGGTGGACCATTCTTGTTACACACAGGAAACTGTTAAGCGTGAAAAACTCAGCAGCGTTGCAGTTCTTGACACAAACCTGTGCGCCTGGCACCTACTACCATACCCCGTTCAAAGGCACTTCAATCTTTTGTCTTGCCCATTCACCCTCTGAATGACACACATACACAATCCATGTCTCAATTGTCTTAGAAATTCCTCTTTAACCTGTCTCCTCCCCTTCATCTATGCCGTCCCTAGGAGGGGTGCGTCACTTGAGTGGGTTGAGTTACTGACGTGATCTTCCTGTCTGGGTTGGCGCCCCCCCTTGGTTTGTGCTGTGGTGGAGACCTCTGTGGGCTATACTCGGCCTTGTCTCAGGATTGTAAGTTGGTGGTTGAGGATATCCCTCTAGTGGTGCGGGGGCTGTGCTTTGGCAGAGTGGGTGGGGTTATATCCTTCCTGTTTGGCCCTGTCCGGGGGTTTCTTCGGATGGGGCCACAGTGTCTCCGGACCGCTCCTGTCTCAGCCTCCAGTATTTATGCTGCAGTAGTTTATGTGTCGGGGGGCTGGGGTTAGTTGGTTATACCTGGAGTACTTCTCCTGTCTTATCCAGTGTCCTGTGTGAATTTAAGTATGCTCTCTCTAATTCTCTCGTTCTCTCTTTCTCTCTGAGAACCTGAGCCCTAGGACCATACGTCAGGACTACCGGGCATGCTGACACCTTGCTGTCCCCAGTCCGCCTGGCCTTGCTGCTATTCCAGTTTCAACTGTTCTGCCTGCGGTTACGAAACCCCTACCTGTCCCAGACCTGCTGTTTTCAACTCTTAATGATCGGCTATGAAAAGCCAACTGAGAGACCTGAGCCCTAGGACCATACGTCGGAACTACCGGCCGTGGTGACTCCTTGCTGTCCCCAGTCCGCCTGGCCTTGCTGCTATTCCAGTTTCAACTGTTCTGCCTGCGGTTATGGAACCCCTACCTGTCCCAGACCTGCTGTTTTCAACTCTTAATGATCGGCTATGAAAAGCCAACTGAGATTTATTCCTGATTATTATTTGACCATGCTTGTCACTTATGAACATTTTTGAACATCTTGGCATGGTTCTGTTATAACCTCCACCCGGCACAGCCAGAAGAGGACTGGCCACCCCTCATAGCCTGGTTCCTCTCTAGGTTTCTTCCTAGGTTTTGGCCTTTCTAGGGAGTTTTTCCTAGCCACCGTGCTTCTACACCTGCATTACTAGCTGTTTGGGGTTTTAGGCTGGGTTTCTGTACAGCACTTCGAGATATTAGCTGATGTACGAAGGGCTATATAAAATAAAATTGATTGATTGCTTGATTGATCTACACTGATTGAAGTGGATTTAACAAGTGACATCAATAAGGGATCATAGCTTTCACTTGGTCAGTCTATGTCATGGAAAGAGCAGGTGTTCATAATGTTGTCCACTCAGTGTAACTGCATCATTGAGATTAACACTAGGAAAGCAGAATGCTATCATGATGGGCAGAAACAGGGACAAATCTACAAAGCAAATTTAACAAAAACAATGACTTGCATCTTTTCTGATTCATGTTAAATATCTATTTATATCTCTTGTATCTATACCAGGAATTCCTTCTCTCTTTTTCTGTCCATCTTAAAGACATAGAGTGAATGAGGACGGAGGAGGAGGGAGGGAGGGAGGAGTGACTTGTCTCTCATTACACACTCAGAACTTTCCCCAACGCAATCAACATGTAAATGACTGAATGTTGCATCATGAACATCAAGTGTGAGGAGTTAACCCTAGTGCTGCCAGGAACTCCCTCCCCCTCCCCTCATCACCAGAACACATGACCAACTCTGTTCGCATCACAGAGGAAATAGGTGAGACGTTTCTCAGGGTATAAATGACGAGGGGTTTAGGCCAGAGTACACATGCTCTCCTGTCTGCTCCTCAAGAGGACCACCAGAGGACCACCAGAACCAGTACACTCTAGTACCAGGAGACACCAGAACCAGAAGTAGAGTGCAGCACCAGTACACTCTAGTACCAGGAGACACCAGAACCAGAAGTAGAGTGCAGCACCAGTACAGTGTAGTACCAGTAGACTCCAGGATGTCTCCCTGCTCTCTCCTCCTATCCCTGCTGCTGGCTGCAGCGCTGCAGTGTGAGCGTGCCCAGTGCAGACGTGTGATGTGCTCCGACCGCTGCTGCTCCTTCATAGAGGGCTTCCCCGTCAGACTGAAGGAACTCCGCACCGCCTTCTCCACCATCAGAGACTACTACGTAAGTACTACATATATACTATACTATACTACTACCCTCTCATATATATATATACACTATACTGTACTACTACCCTCTCATATATATATATACACTATACTACTACATAAGTACTACATATATACTATACTACTACCCTCTCATATATATATATATACTATACTACTATGTAAGTACTACATATATACTATACTGTACTACTACCCCCTGTCTCTCTCTCTATATATATATATATACTACTACGTAAATCAAGGGCATAACTTTGTGATGGATATTGGGGGGGGCAGGGTCACTTGGTTCCGGTGTCAACTCTCTCTAGGGGGGTTGACATATATATTTAAAAAAAAATAGCTATGAAATGGTTGTATCTGGTGAGAATTTAAGGGAAAATACATCCAAAAAATGTCTGATAATCTGATCAATATACCCCAGTCACAACTGAAACCAGTATGTGTCTATATTACATTATACTGTGTTCTTACTCTTAACAGCACAGAAAGGCATCACCACACCCCTTCTTTAACTACATTTAAATGTCAAAACCCATTATTCTATTTGTGTACCCTTCACCACGCTTGGCTAGTACATGGTCTTGAATAACTCATGCAGTTTTCAAAGCACTACTGATCCCGTCACAATGTACCGATGCTTGTTTCAAAGTAACATTATCACGTGATCAATTATGTCCGAAGCGTCGTTTGATCACGTGGTTGCAAAATGCAAAATCCCATTGATTTCGCCATGGTTCCAGTGCTTACTTTGATTCCAAGTTGCTTTCAAATACCGAGCTCTACTTGACACCGTACTTACAATGTAGTTCGGATTTGTTCATGGAATGTCACCTGAACGTTAGCTCAACAGGTAGAGATCTCGGGGACCAGAACACTCACTGACTACAGGGAATTGGGTCAAATCCCAGCAACGCCTATAAAAAAAAACGTGACATCACACTTTCTGCACATTGTTGTTCAAACAATTGGTTTAGTGAAGTATAAGCGTCCATCCTAAATAATGCCATAGCTTCTGTTTTTGACATGAAAAAAAGTAATTGATAGTAGGCAACTAACCAGAGAGATCTGATGAATATTGGGGAAGAAACGTAGATATGTTAGCCTTCAGGAAGCATCTCACTGTACCGTTTACACCCACTATATCATGTGCACGTGATGAACAACCTTTGATTTGATATAAAACAAACATCAGTAAACTGCGAGTCTAAACTGTGCTGTTTGTTGTCTGCAGGAGGCTAACGATGATCTGGAGACAGTCCTGCTGGACGAAGGGATTCTACACCACTTCAAGGTGAGTTCACCCTCTCCTTCACACTGTTCTCTCTATTCCAACAGTAGGATAGAGTTCTCCCCTGATGGAACGGTTTGAGATAAAGAAACAGATCAGGACGAGGATGCATGTCCAATCCATTCCTGAATTAGAAGTGAGATCAAGATTAAGAAAATACCCTGATGGCTATCCTGGTTATACTGATGGCTATCCTGGTTATACTGATGGTTATACTGATGGCTATCCTGGTTATACCGATGGCTATCCTGGTTATACTGATGGTTATACTAGTTATACTGATGGTTATATTAGTTATACTGTAGTATATATATAGCTAGAGGTAATCTCCTCACCTTCAGTTAGGGTTAGTTATAATCTCCTCACCTTCAGTTAGGGTTAGTTATAATCTCCTCACCTTCAGTTAGGGTTAGTTATAATCTCCTCACCTTCAGTTAGGGTTAGTTATAATCTCCTCACCTTCAGTTAGGGTTAGTTATAACTGTTCCTCTCTCTATAAGTGTGATGTCAATGATCTTGTTTCCTCATCAGAGTCCGTTGGGGTGTCACGCTATGGACAGCATCCTGAAGTTCTACCTCGACACGGTGTTTCCCACCGCCATGAACAACAGAACACAGAACAACAACGACTTTAAATCTCCCATCGACTCCATGGGAAACATCTTCCACATGCTGAAGAAAGAGATCGTCCAATGTGTAAGTAGTCTGGTCCTATATAGTCTGGTCCTATATAGCCTGGTCCTCTATTGCCTGGTGCTAGGGCGTTGAATACTTATCTAATCAAGATATATTAGTATTTTATTTTTCATGCATTTTTTACAAATGTTAAAATGTATCTTCCACTTACAGAGTATTTTGTGTAGATCGTTGACAAAAAATGACAATGAAATCCATTTTAACCCCACATTGTAACACAACAAAATGTGGATACTTTCAGAAGGCATATATAGTCTGGTCCTATATAGTCTGGTCCTATATAGTCTGGTCCTATATAGTCTGGTCCTATATAGTCCTATATAGTCTGGTCCTATATAGTCTGGTCCTATATAGTCTGGTCCTATATAGTCTGGTCCTATATAGTCTGGTCCTATATAGTCTGGTCCTATATAGTCTGGTCCTATATAGTCTGGTCCTATATAGTCTGGTCCTATATAGTCTGGTCCTATATAGTCTGGTCCTATATCCTGTGAAAGCGTTATGAGTTTATGATGTGAAAGTGTCTTGATGTGGTTTGGTTAAGGTCACAGGGATATTGTTGAGATGATATTTCCATGGTTGTGTTTCATGTCATTAAAGCTTCGTCAGGTTGTACGACATAGCAATATATCTAGGCCTCGTCAGAAACCTCAGATTTAGGGACCGGCCGGCGGTCTAACCCCAAACACACAACACTGACACGATTACTTCCTAACTTACACAGCATCCAACAAACCTACTGTTCCCACGCTAGAGAGAGAGATAATGTGTAGGTGTTCCCAGCACTCTGCAACCAATACTGCTGCATTGTGGGACAGTTTACTACTCTGTCACTCCTAACAATCCTAATCTCTCTCTATAGAGGAACTACTTCTCCTGTAAGAAACCATTTGACATCAACGAGTTCACCTCCTCGTATAAGAAGGTAAGTTTCCTTCAGCCTCAGCCTCTCAGTGAGTGAATGAGTGAATGTGTGTGTGTGTGTGTGTGTGTGTGTGTACGCGTGAGTGCGTTTGTATGTGTAGTTCCTCTAACCTGAGTGTGTTTCGTGTGTGTCTAGATGCAGGATAAGGGCCTGTATAAGGCAATGGGAGAGCTGGACCTGCTCTTCAACTACATCGAGGAGTACCTGGTCTCTCAGAGACGCAAACACTGACCCCGGACCAATCAGAATTAGCCAAAGTTCTGTGGGTAACCCTAACCTCTAATAACCTCAAAGTCCAAACATCTAAACTGCAGTCCAGGAATCTGGGACAGCGTCTTTGTGGAAGACCATGAGACTAAAGTGTATTGGTCCTGAGGACCTTCTCTTTAAAGTCCTGAACCACATTTAGCCTCAGGTTAATCAAAACTTTATTACTGAGTCATATTGACTGAAACATTCTGCTGTAAAGTTGAATTCGTAGAATTTTTAGGATTGACTCTCTGGATGTCCTTCCTCAGATATAGTACAGTCATGATGTGATGTTAATCTAACCACCATGTGGAGGAAGGAATCATATGTTACAGTCATGATGTGATGTTAATCTAACCACCATGTGGAGGAAGGAATCATATGTTACAGTCATGATGTGATGTTAATCTAACCACCATGTGGAGGAAGGAATCATATGTTACTGTAAATGTAGAAAGGGACATCTGGGCTGCACATTTACCAGTGTGGCAGAGAATGTATAGATTGTCCTATTTTACACATTTTCCTTTAACATGTTTTTAATATGTGATCATTGACTGATCTGTAATAATGACTGTATTACACATCACCATGTTTACAACGTATTGCAACATTTAGATATAGCTTACAGTATGTTTACTACCAATATCAGTATTGATTTAAATTAAAACTGTCTGTGAATCTAAGTGGAATACTGCACCATAATGTTTATTAGTGTGACTTAAGAAAGCAGCCACACCTGAAATATGATAATAATTATTTCTGACATTATTCTTTGGACCCCTACTCCTCCTACACCATTTAAGCTAGAAACGCCATTCAAGCTTTAAAATGTGCAGACTGGTCTGGAATAGTGTGCTTGCATACAACTTTTTGAAACTATTTATACTTTTTTAACTATTACACTTTTATTAAACTTCATCCACTTTCAGGGGATTTCTTCAACATTCTATTCACTGTAAACAATGTAACCTTTTACACAAATCAGCTACTTTGACCACTTTCCCAACAACGTTGTCAATAGAGGGTATGAAAACTTGGTCTACTTCTCTGCTATTTAAATATGAAATCAGGATAGAATTATCTTCTACCAATCAAAAGTGACAGCTGTTGTAGTAACCGCATCAACTACTTTGTCTTAACTGTTTGAAACAACTGCCGTCTTGACCACTTTCCCAACTAGTTAGACAACAACTTAGTGTATGAAATCTTTGTCTACTTCTCTGCTATTTAAATCTGAAATCAGAACACTTCTTCCACTACCATGAACTAATAGTTTTAAAAGAGCTGAAGCAAGGAACACAATTTTACTTGTTAAATTACAATCTAGTTCTAAGTATTTATTGGATTGTGTTGAAAGTGTATTTTGTTTTGTAGAAGAATGAATAACTGCCATCTCTTCATGGTCCATGTTTTTTTAGTTCTTATAATTATGTCACCTACCATTATATATAAGTGTGCCTAAATGTTTGTGAGGTAGAGTGTGTTTCTGTTGAACCTTTCTTTAACCAGGTTAGTCTCGCTGAGATAAAAATCTAATTTTCAAGAGATTTTAACCAGCGTGTTTTCAGCTACAATGTTTTTGTATTTATTTATGATTTTGACTTGCTCTGCCCTGCAGTTTTAAAATAAATGTTATACTTTGGAACCGTTTTTTACCTCAATTCTTCTTTAAAACGTTAAAATGTAAAGCCTTTTAAGTGGTGATTCCCGGCCAGCCCTTCCACATTCTGTTGTAATGCTGCAGCGATGGTACAATAAAGGCCTTCTGAATCTGATGTCTCATCCTGTGGTTCTTCTTCTGAAATAGCAGAACAGAAATAGTTTTCAACTCAATAGTTCATCATGAGAATTCTTTGGGTGCTGGATTCTAAAAGGCAAACAGTACAAACTCTGAAACACATGTGATTCTTTGACCTCTGCTACTGCTAAATACCATTATAATGTAAATACTATTTCAGTGAGTGCAGGTTTTCTTTTTGTACATTAGGTAACCATGTTACTAACACTACCTGACGGAGGGTTGACACCATGTGCTAACCCTAACCATAACAGCAGAATATACTGGTCTCCACACTCTAACCTCAAACATGACCCACATACAGCACTTACCAGCAGGCAGCCCTGCACCCGAGCACTTACCAGCAGACCTTTACTGGAATGACAACCATTCTGGACTCACCTTGTTTGAATATACAAAACGTATTGAAACGAAACCGGAGTCTGCATATTTTGTCTGACTGATGCGCTTCTATCTGTGGTTTCCATCGGAGGTTGATGCAGAAGCATTTCTGCAGAGAGGGACACGTGTGTGTGTGTGTATTCTTGTAGCGCACCGAAATGAGATTTGTTAAGAGGAAATAGCTGTGGCGCTAATCTCTGAACGTGCACCAGGGCAGCAGTGAAACAGACAGTCAGAACATAACTTTAACCACCAAGCACTCACACTCATTCTGCGTAACCACCAAGCAATTAATGAACGCTGTCTTGTTGAGAGCATCACCTGAAGATTAGAAGGTGTTGAGTCATCCAGTGTGCAGGGTTATATTAGAAGGTGTTGAGTCATCCAGTGTGCAGGGTTATCTATCTAGGATAGATAAACAGGTGCATTATGAGAGTCTGATTAGGATGTTGTGACCTGTAACATGTCATACCTGAGTAAAGGATTATGCTCATCCAACTCTCCGACGCCAGTCATTCACATACACATATTAACCCAGTGTACAGCGTTAGATTAGAAGGTGTTGACTCACCCAGTGTACAGCGTTAGATTAGAAGGTGTTGACTCACCCAGTGTACAGCGTTAGATTAGAAGGTGTTGACTCACCCAGTGTACAGCGTTAGATTAGAAGGTGTTGACTCACCCAGTGTACAGCGTTAGATTAGAAGGTGTTGACTCACCCAGTGTACAGCGTTAGATTAGAAGGTGTTTGACTCATCCAGTGTACAGCGTTAGATTAGAAGGTGTTGACTCACCCAGTGTACAGCGTTAGATTAGAAGGTGTTGACTCACCCAGTGTACAGCGTTAGATTAGAAGGTGTTGACTCATCCAGTGTACAGCGTTAGGGTTAGTATCAGTGTTCTGGCCTGCATGGTTGTCAGGAGAATGTAACTGCATCCCAAATGGCACAGTATTCCCTAAATAGTGCACTACTTTTCAACAGAGCCGTATGGGTCCTGGTCAACAGTAGTGCACTAAACAGGGAATAGGGTGCCCTTTGGGACGCAAGCTGTAACTCAGCGTTGGTTAGTGCAGGGGGCCAGGCGGATGTGTTTCGGTTTCACAAGGTGCCAGTCCTTCCTCTCTTCAGACTGGCAACTTCACGTCTGTCTGTCTGTCTGTCTGTCTGTCTTTGACAGAAAACTGACTAACGTCAGACTGTCTGTGTCATGTCATCCAGTCAGTCTGTGACATGTCAATAGGGACAGATGACTGACTTAGTTTCTGTCGGGGAAACGATTTAGAGATTGTATACAGAGCCACACAAACACACCAAACACAGGTTAGCGCTTTAACCATTGGGATGCAAATTCAACCTTAGCATTCCAGAAAGGAACTAGATGTTCTAAAAACTCAGATTACTGGATACAGTAATATTATTACAGAAAGACTCCAGGAAACACAACGAATAACATATAGTACAAATAAATAAATAAATAAAACTAAACTAAATAAAAAATAATAATTCAAAAGAATTGCAGGACATAACATATCACACAAAATGGTTGACGTAATACACAATTTGATGATGTAGTACACAAAAAACGGGGACCGGTTTTGGCTTGTGAGCACTACTTTCAAAATGAGTGGCTGAAAATTATACACTGAACAGAAATATAAACGCAACATGTAAAGTGTTGGTCCCGTGTTTCATGTGCTGAAATAAAAGATCCCAGAAATGTCTCTCAAATGTTGTGCACAAACTTGTTTAAATTCCTGTTAGTGAGCTTCTCATTTGCCAAGATAATCTATCCACCAGACAGGTGTGGCATTTCAAAAAGCTGATTAAACAGCATGATCATTACACAGGTGCACCTTGTGCTGGGGACAATAAAAGGCCACTCTAGAATGTGCAGTTTTATCACACAACACAATGTCCACAGATGTCTCAAGTTTTGAGGGAGTGTGGAATTGGCATGCTGACTGCAGGAATGTCCACCAGAGCTGTTGCCAGCTAAACGCCAACCGGCCTCACAACCGCAGACCAGGTGTACGGCGTCGTGTGGGCGAGTGGTTTGCTGATTTCAACGTTGTGAACAGAGTGCCCCATGGTGGCGGTGGGGTTATGGTATGGGCAGGCATAAGCTACGGACAACGAATACAATTGCATTTTATCAATGACAATTTCAATGCACAAAAATACCGTGATGAGAACCTGAGGCCCATTGTGAGGCCCGTGTTTTCTTAAAGGAATCTGTGACCAACAGATGCATATCTGTATTCCCAGTCATGTGAAATCCACCGATTAGGGCCTAATGAATTTATTTCAATTGACCGATTTCCTTATACGAACTGTAACTCAGTAAAATCAATGAAATTGTTTCATGTTGCGGTTATATTTTTTTGTTCGGTATATAAAAGCTCTGGAGCTCTTTAATATGAAGGTCTAAAACAATGCTGACAAATTCAGTTTGTTTCTTGAAGAGTCAATAGTGCTGATCTGTTTCACCATAACAGTCAACAGCTGAGGAAGGTGCCAAACTAAAAAGGTGTCACTGCGTTTTCAGTTTCCATGTTTACGTTTTTACATCACATGACGTCAATAGGGGTAACACTTAACCATGGAAAGTGTTGCATCTGCAAACAGTTGCACTTTCAGTGTGTGCACATATCTCTTGGTTCGTTTCAGAATCCATCGTGATAAAAAGCAGTTTCATACTCTGATAACAACACAGGTTGTTCCAAAAGATACATACTCAGTACTCGGTTTTCTAGAAATTCAGTCGAGGTCAGTTGCTGAAGTGTGAACAGTAATCTCCA